GTTCTTGAAGGATCAGAAGTCTGATACGATGGAGGCCGAGGCTCACCTAGAGCACCGCTGGGAGACTTCGATGATGGAGCCAAGACAAGCTCGCAGTTCCGCCGCAGTTGACGCTGCCAACTCCAAGGCGCGTTGGCTCATAACTATCTGTAAAGCGCCGGGTTTCCATCATAAACATTCTGGAGGCATAAGTTAACGGTATGCTTAGTAGGCTTGGCCACCGCTGGGTGGTCGTGGGCAACACGAAAGCGAAACGTGCGACTAGAGATTATATTACCGCTGTACAAGAAACGTTAGATTTTGGACTGAGCTGTACGCTGTGGTTCTGGCAATAGTTTGCCTGCTTTGAACCAGACCTCCAGGGCATACCTAACGACCTAGCGATGTCCACATCGCGCGACATCTTATGGTAGTCAAGTCTGGAGTTTGGTTGTCCAAGGTACATGGCCAGCCAGATTTCTCGAGAACGTGTATACATGAGTCGCTCAATTTGTTTCTTGCTGATACGCAGCTGGTTCCAACACGTATTGTTCTTCAAACCGAGTTCGCAGAGCAAGTTTGTCTTTGATGCCCGTAAGTATGTTCAGCGAACAGTCTTGAAGGAACGTCTGCTGTTGCCTAAATCTAGGGCATGGTCGTGCAACTCGCTCTTTGATCTTATCGTTACGTGGCAAGGGGCTCTGCGTGGGTGGAAGCAAGGGTTCAATACATAACACTTCCAGTCTAAGGGTATGAGCTGTGGAGCCATGTGCAACAGGGAGGGCGCAGAGCGTCCATGGGGAGCAGTTTCCCTAAGTCTTATACCTGGGTCTGTGTAGCTGACTCCCGTTAGCCCTGTATGCAGTCTCGAAGTGTTCACGAAATATAGACACCGAACCTGGCCACGGACTTCGGTTGACGACCCTGACCCTGTGTGAGTTGCCAACGTACTAGCATCAATACTCAGTTGATACAGCCAAGTAAGTGCTGCAATGTGGAGCTTGGTTCAGGTTTGGCTTCCATAGATTAATGCATGTATGCGGGAGGAAATAAAACCAGCTTCTTGAACGATATACACCTGATAGCATGATTGCTTGACGGGCTGGTTTACAGACACACAACATACTTTTGATACATGTGTATATATATATATGTATTGTGGTCTTTGTTCTTTGCTGTGAAATATAACATCAGGATGCCGCCACGTCTATACATCGTGTGCCACACTTCTCTGATTAAGTGGCCTCGCCCAAGCCGTAATGCCAAACAACAACGTGCATCACGTATGCAATCGTACGTGTGGGCGTCAACGAATCCAGCACTAGCCCATTGGAAGGCTGCTGCAGTGACTGCCCTGGCATTTGCATTATCATCTGTGCATGCCTGGGCCTTGAGATATTTACCGAGTGCATGCAGCATTGGGCCACTCCTGAGGCTCTGGATGTTTTTCTGCCATGAGCTGTCTGGGAGGGTTGGGAAAATGCGCTTCGCTCTACGTCTGGCGGGGTCTCATTCTGGGGGAGCCGCCACCGATTATGCAATGTGCTAAGAACGTATGGCTGCTTTCGCCAACCCCCGCCTGGAATCAGGAAACTGGGGGTGAGCTGCTATTATTGCATCGCTTGATAGACTCAAGATGACGAGGAGGGCCGAGAGGTGGAAGAAGATAGAGAGGTGCTGATTAACTGACTTCCTGCCTACATCCCACTCCGCACGTCCCCTTCTCTGGAGCACGCTCGGCGGTGCCGCGTTGGAACGGCTGAAGGTGTCTCTCATCACCTTCACGGGCTCACGTCTTCACCCTGGCGCTTCAGCCTATCAAAGTAGACCGAGGAAGAGAAGTGCAATGATAGTAGAGCTCAGCATGGGAAAACACAGGATTGCTTGTGCTAGGAACTGTGCGCGCCGACCGACAAGAAACATACTACTCATCACGAGGACGCCTGCTGACTTCCAGAACTGCTATGCCAAGGATGGGAACGCTGTATGTTACTGACACCTGCATGTCCTATACTGGCGCAGCTGGGATCTGGAAAAGCAAAGGGGAGGTATGAAGACACTCTGTTGCTGCTGCTGCTGCTCCTCCTCCTCTTCCTCCTCCTGCGCCTCCACAGCAGAAGGCGAGTTAATTAGGTGCGTGCGCACCCAAACGCTCAAGCCGAGAAAGAAACAGATGTGTGCGTGATTACTTGAATACCGTTGTAGTTGTCTGCGGCGCTGAGAGCAGACCGTTTATGCAATGTGTACACCCAATGCCGACGAGTTCCACCATTTGTTCCTCACTCTCAGGGCTGCCCTTGTTGCTGCTCGGTCACCCCGATCCTCTTCCGTCTCCCTGCGCATCTTATCTTCCTCCTTGTCCCTGGGGAGGTGATCGAGATCCATCGGGCCCCCGATTCAAAGAATTTGGTCATCGGGGATTTAGAGCTGCCCACGGGCCCTCGCTCCACCCAGACATCCGACATCGCGATGCGTATTCACTACGTGGCTTCCCAGATGACTGGGCCCTTCCCGTGGTCGGTCCTGTCATTCCGGCCGTTGTTCGATGTGGCGGGCAGGGACTTGGCGAGGGCTTCCGAATGTCCACAATTGACAAACGTCCCAGCTGTTCCCGACGCGAGGTGGTCAGGGCTGCCCCCCCTTCCTCGAGGAGGCCTGGCGGCGCGGAGAGGGAAAGAATCTCGACGCCTCCTGCTAACCCCCGTGCCCCCCCCCAGGAAGGAGGGCATCGCGGCCGCGGTAGGCTCGATGATGGGGGGCGGCAGAGATTGGGACACAATTTATGGGCGGGCTCTCATGGCCTGAGCCCTGATATCTCTTCGATACGTCCTTTGGCCCCCTTTTGCCGCGCACATGCCTCGGGCCGTGATCTACGACCCCACCTTTTGGACGCTTCCGAGATGAGCTGGCCAGGATGGCGCGATGAAAGCGAAGAGCTGTCATGCTGCGATTGCACAGTTTTTCCCGCCTGGCTATAGGACGTGTCTAGTGGCTTCCAGATTCTAAATTCGAATCTCGGTAGTTGCGGTTCGCTCAATCAACTCACGCAACATACACATACATGCAGGCAAGCACACCTGCAGCTACTCATGCAACGTATGCGCAGCCACGCGCCGCAGTGGTGACGATCCTCCGCTCTGGCAGCATCTCAAACAGAATCACGAAATCACGACTCGAGCCCCAGACGCCATCTTCCTGCGCCAGCTCTTGCTCGAGCCCGATGGATGTGTGAGGGCCCCAGGGCCCGAGACTGGGCGAACGCGCCCAGAGTGAAAAACTGCAGCCCCAGGGCCCCAGGGTAGGCTGGCCATGATGGTGCTCGGGGAGGGGTCTGGGGCACGTCGTCGTCGCTCTCCCTGGGGCCGAGGCTCGGGGCCCCCAATGCGGACGGCGCGGTGGCCGCGCCGCGTCGTGAGTCAGTGCCGGAGTGTCGGCTTTGGGCCTCGGGTCGTTCTGCGAGCCGGGGCTTCTCGGGGGTGGACAGGACCCCCGCCCCGACACGTCGATTGGTGAATTCTCCGTTTTCAGGTCTGCGCCCGCCAGGTTCAGGCCCGAGGTCGTTTTCACACTAAACCACGTTTTACCAAAGGGGGTTCTGTCCATCTCCGAGCTTCCGGGGTCCCAAGACCGTGCGGTGACGGCCCGTGCGGTGAAGTCTTCCTGGGGAATTCCCAGGTCACCGCAGGGTGTGTCACCGCATCGTTTCGAGAGGCCCAAGATCGGCGGCGAGCCGAAGGGGGACGTAAGAGGGGGGGGCAGGCCTTCTCAGAGGGCGGCGGGGCTTCTCAGAAGCCCTCGCGCCCTGTGGGAAGTCTTGCCTTTCCGAAGCCACAGACGGCTTCTCAGATGGCGCGAGGGCTTCTGAGAAGCCCCGAGAAGCCCCGCCGCCCTCCGAGCAGGCAAGCACCCTCGGCGTGCCACCGAGTACCAGGGACGACAAGACAGTGTGACACGCGGTGCGGTCTTCCGATCCTACGTATTCGGACGCTACTGCATGTATGTATGCATGTATTTATGTATGTATGTGTTTGTGAATGTGAATGTGTATGCGTATGTGCATGTGCATGTGCATGTGTGTGCGCATGTGCATGTGTATGTGCATGTGTAGGTGCATGCGTATGCGTATGCGTATGCGTATGTGAATGTGTCAGTGTCTGCGTATGCGTATTCGTATGCGTATGTGGACGTGGATGTGGATGTGTATGTGCATGCGTATGTGCATGTGACTGTGACTGTGACTGTGACTGTACATGTCCATGTGCATGTGTATGCGTATGCGTATGTGTATGCGAATGCGCATGCGTATGTGTATGTGTATGTGTATGTGCATGTGTATGTGCATGTGCATGTGCATGTGCATGTGTGTATGTAGGTAGGCAGGTAGGTAGGCAGGCAGGTAGCTAGCTAGGTAGGTCTGTCTGTCTGCCTGTCTACATGCATGCATGCATGCATGCATGCATGCATGCATGCATGCATGTATGTATGTATGCACGCACGCGCGTACATGCGTACGTACGTACGTATGTATGTATGTACCGCTGCATCCAGGGTCGAGGCATTACCCCGACCATTGCCTGGGAGCCGCCAGGCTCGAGTAGGGGGTTCGGAGAGGGTTGGTTATCTCAAGGCGGGATTAGGGAACGGGCCCAGCTGGATGCTCACGTTTCCTACTCGGCCGTCTATAGCCGTGCTCCTCTAACCCCACCTCTACCCCTACCCTACCTTTACGCTCCGTCCGATCGAGGCATGTCCCCTCGCACTCCTACCCCCCCCCAGATCCCCATTGTCATGAGTTTTTCCTTCGACCCATTCCCGGGGACCGTGTATTCGTCCTGAGTCGTTTTTTGACGGCCCCGCCGCCCCGTAAGGGCCTCCGGAGGCCGAAAGCAGCTCAAAGCCTCCCGTCGCGTTTTTGTTCATGACCTGCGGGGGTCTGGGCCATGGGCTCGCCGCCGACCCGAGGAGGTGGGGCTCCTCGAGGGACCCGCCCTTTTCGGCCGCCTCTCCCGCCCCGGCCCCAGGCGGCCTGCGCGCAGAGGGCGGCCGGCGCGAAGGAGGCCGCGCTCGCCTCGGGGAAGGACGCGGGCGGCCCGTCTGAAGGATCGAGTTGAGCGCTGCAGCAAGCCGGGTTCGACTGCGCCGACATTCGCGCGCAAGTTGCCGGCGTAAGGTCGCGCATTAGCGCCTTCGTTCCTAATGCAGCGTGCCTCGCTGCCCGCGTAAGCCACCGCGAAAGGTCGCTATGTCATCTCGCGCAAGGTCGCTATGTCACCTCGCGGGCGGCCCGTCTGGATGGAGGACCGAGATGTGTGCGGAAAGAAGGTCAGAGGAGGAAAAGGTACCCTTGCCCCATTCTCCTCTTTTTGGGCCTCCTGGGAGGCCCTCGTCGCCACCACTGGATTCCCCTCGAAGGCCTTGTCAGGACGCACCCCGGAAGAGGTCTGGGGAGTATCGGCATCGGTAATTACCTCTTGGTTCCCCCAGTAGGGGCACGGCCCAGCAGTAGTTCCTGCCTATATTGAACAGGAGTTGTTGTCGGCGTCGCCGCGGACGTGGCCCATCTGAGAGACAGAAGGCCGCCTGCCCAGAGGCGGCCACTGCCAGTTTTTGAGAACGTTGGTTGTTGGGGTTTTCCCGTACCCATTTCGGGTGCCCAATTCCCGGGAACAGGCCTCCATCAATAGTTGAAGAAGAGAAACGGCATTAACATCAGTTTGCGATGCTCCACGTGGATTGCTTGGATTTGCGCCAGAGCCCCCTGGCGGCGCCTCCAGCGCCGCCCCTGACGGGGTCCAGCGCCGACACAAGAGATCCGCGCGGAGCTCCAAAAGTGTATGTTAATGCAGTGTCGTCTCATTGGCCGTATATTTTAGCTTATTCCCACCCTCATCGGGCCATGGTATCTAAGCCCCACCATTACACCCCGCCAGCTGGGAATATGTCACTCGAAGTCCAAAGGGAGCAGCCTATATTCCCATCTAAAGGGGTAAATCGGCCAGTGGGGCCCAGGCCACGCCAGTGAGGACTGGGATCGGTTAAACGATGCTCGCTCGGAAAGGGGAGGGTAAATTTTCTCTGCTCCTCCCCCGGTTGTGGAGACACTGATCCCGAACCCGGATATTTTGACAGCTCCCCGCGCCGACGCGCCATCATACGTTTCAGCGAGCGCGCGCGCCTGACGCGCCGCGCGCGCTCGTGGACGCCCGCGCGCATGCCCGCGCGCGCGCGCCCACGCGCGCCCGCGCGCGCACCGCGCGCGCCCACGCGCGCCCGCGTGCGCAGGCAAACGTGCATGGGAAACTCGCAAGGAACGCTGGAGAGCGTTGCCCAGGCGCCCACGCAAGCTCTGCGGAGCTACCTGGGCGCTGCCCACGAGCCCAGGAAGCTTGCCTGGGAGCCGCCTGGGAGCTGCGCGCGAGCCTGGAAAGCGTTGGGAAGGAACCGCGCAAAGGCTTGCGGCGCGCGTATTGGGAACGAGTGGGGAAACGCTTCTCGGACCAGCTGCAGCTTCAAGCAAGCCGTTGCGAGGATGCCTGTCCGGCACGAAGCTGGCCTAGCCTTGTCTGCCAGCTCCTGTTCTAAGGCTTGCTGAATTATCCAAGGAGCTCTCCAGGAATTGATCCAGGCCTCCCAGATTGGGTCGAAGTAGATGGGATCGGCGGATCGCGCCGCATCGCCGATGCATCGGCGATGAGGCTGGATGTGAAGCTCGATTTTCTCCGCGCCAGCGTCGCCGATGCACCACCGACGTCTCCGATGCATCGGCGATGCGGCGCGATTTTCGGACCCCATTTATTCCGACCCCAATTAGGAGGCCTCTATCTGAGGGGGTGGTCCGTAATCTTGTGCTCCTCCGCTGAGTCTGGAGGCGTTGGCGGGAAGGTTCGGCTACACGAAAGAGCCAATTGTCGCGGCCTGAAGGGGTTGCATTCCGCGCAGCCCTGGGATTGGATCTCCGCATGGCCCCCCGATGCAGTCGATCAGCGTTTGACAGAGATGTTGTTTCTGTTCATTCGCATACGTGTTCTGTCAGCTCCTCTCGTTCTGGCATTCGCACCCTTGGTCAACGGAGGAACACATTGCAGCCGCGCAGGCGAAAGCAGTAGATTACAAGTGATGTCCTTGTTCGAGCACAGGTCTATTGGTTCGAAGAGGTGCAAGACTGTCGCAGCTGGAAGGAAGCGGAAGCTGCTTTTCTGGAGCGTTTTGGGTGGATTTGTTTCTATTGCTGTAGTAGGTGTCGGGCCCCCGGGCTTCCCATGACATGCGTACATACACGGGGGTCGGAGTAGATGTAGACGGGGGACCGCGCCGCGTGTCACCTTGCCCTCGGTGCCGCGCCGAGGCTTGCCTTCTCGGATGGCGGCGGGGCTTCTCACAAGCCATCGCTCCATCTGAGAGGCCCTCTGAGCCTGCGAGAAAGCCCGCCACCTCTGCCTTCTCCCCAGGGAGCGCGCCGACGATACACAGCATGAGTACAACTGTCCTCTCTCCGACAGCGTCTCGGCACAGCCACCGGCGCGTCACGAGCCATACTTTCAGTATCTTGAACCCCTCTAGATCCGGTTCGTTGACTGGCTAGAGCACAAGCATTGGGATGCTCACCCCACGGCTGCCCAGTGGTGGCCATTGATTTGGACGCCAGATCTGGATCAATATGCTCGCCGAGTGAGATGCTTTGCACTTGCCGTTTTCGATTGGGAACATGTTAGTGTAATCCAAATTCGGCCGGAGACGGGCTGGGACCAGTGGGAGCGAGACGTTGCGGAAAGAGGATGTGTCATTTCCTCCGTTCGAGTGTTGACGGATCATTTGGAAGCTGCGAACCGAGCATTTGCATCGACCCAGGTAGGGGACATGGATTTCCGAGTCGCTGCTGAACTTTATCATCGGCCAAGCCGCAGTGATGAAGTAGACTCGGAACGCGAAGAGAAGGCTGCGATGTCGGATGGCGTATGCAATACCCATATCGCACGGCGACATCTATTGCTTATTACGAATGGATCGATGCCTTTTTGGCTTGACTTGGTCTCTATGTCTGGCTGTATGTGTGGTCATAACTACAACAGCGAAGTTTACGAGAAGCCAGACGTCATCAAAGTTGCAGTGCAATTTGTTCTCGAACACTTATCGATTGCTCCAAATGTGAGCCCGTTGGACACCGATATTATCCATGACGCACCGCTGGGACTATTCGAGCTTGTGGGTCGAATTTTGAACCAACCGTTTGATCGCATCCCCACCCATGGAAGTTGGGGACGCATTCTGTTAGTTGTACGAGAAGTCATAGTTTTTATTCATGTCCGCGGGAATCAACGTTGCGCTTCCGGGATACAGGGTACAGCGCAATCCGCAATTCCCCCGAAATTTTTGCAATACGCTTATGCTTTGGATAGTCGGATCCGAGCTGCTGTAGAGACATTCGATTTGCTTCATAATTGGATCGACGCATTAGGAAATTAAGTAAATGATACCGCGCGACGGAATTGCTCATGCATTCAAGAGGCGATGGTCTTTATACATACGTCTACGGCACCCCAATCTAGTGTCAAGATTTGTCTCGCTAGCAGCCTTTTTGGCGTCTTCAATACTGACAACGCCATTGGGATTACCAGTTGCCTTAAGAAGAAAAAGGAGGAGAGTGGCCCGGCCAACTCTCCCACCGAGACAGCCCCAGCCGAGTCGCCAGCGGATGCTGTAGCCCCAGTCGTTGGAGGCATTACCCCGACCGGCACCGCCGCCTCGGGACAGCGAACTCAGCAATGCTCTCGCCCGGCATCGCGGCCGAGGTCCCAACGTGGACGGCAATCCCATCGGGCCACTCCCTATACTCCTGCGCCTGCTGGCTCAGCCGCGCCAGGCGCCAATGCCAGGTGGGCCGACTGCGGCAGGATTCGGTCGTGGGCGGATGAATCCTGGACTGAGGAACCCATCCCACAAAGACTGGCTGCCGAGCCGGTCGGCGGCCACGCGCGCGACGGCGATGGCCCCGGGCCGGCCGCGGGCGGCGCGCGCGACACTACCGTCGACCACGAAGACAAGGCCGAGAATGGAGACATTCGAGGACCCCATGCACATGCGCCCCAGCATCGTCAAGTCACCGGTCGTCACAACACGTGGCCAATGGTTTAGTCTGGATGAGTACAGCGACAAGTTCCAGCGCGATTCTGGGGCGCCAAGCGCCTTGCCAGCGCCCCCCCCGCCGCCGTCGCCCAAGGCGAGATCGTCGGAGGAGGGCCAGGGCAAGAGCGAGCCAAGTGGCTGGAGTTAGCAGCAGACAGGACAGCTCCTCCAGGGACCTGAGCCAGCGCCCCTGGAGCAACAGCTATCCCTGGGGTGACTCTCGAGAGTGGCGAGGTCGATGGAGAAGGGGATGGTGCGCAATGGAACCTGCACGACCAAGTCGATGCTGGTCAGTGCTTCTTCTTGGAGCGGGCGCGCCAGGTGGCCTGAGCTGGAAATTTTAGTTCAGGCGGGGAAGGTCGGGCTTCTTCGGCCTTCCGCCCCCTGACAACCACCGTCGAGCGGTAAAATGCTTTTGGGGGCTTCGCTCCGGTGGCTGCGCGCATGCGCAGGCCAGGTGGGTCGGGGGTCGGGGTGGCTCTACGAATCCCGCCGCGGGGGGAGTCAATGCGCCCCTTCCGCGCCATCATTATTTTGCCCTGCCTGCTTTTTTCCTTTGCGCGCGCTGTCTGCCTGCTGCAAGGACTTGTTCTGCCCCCGCAGCTATATGCTTTGGCTCTAGGGAAACGGAGAAGGAACGAGCCTGCGGCGCGCGCGCGCGTCGGCCGGCGGGCCGGCCTCTTCCCTTCAGTGTTCTTTCAGTGTGCGTTGGGCGGCACTATCCTTTCTTACCCACGTCATCTGCGGAGCCCACTGACCATGAGACATCATTTGGGCATTTTGCAAGGATATGAATATTAAGGTACAAGTTTTCTCCATCTACGACGACGACGACGACTACTACTACTACTACTACTACCACTACGACTATTCTTACGCTTACTACTACTACTACTACTACTACTACTACCACTGCTACTACTACTACTACTACGACTACTACTACTATTACTAC